AATGGGGCAATGTTGCCTTGGCGCAAATAAATACTTATTTCTTTTCGGCGACCAAAAAAAGAGAGAAGAAAACCCACCCACTTTCGCCTAGACAACCTCCTCCTCGTAAAAGTGTAAGTAGTAAATACGCTTGAGTATTATTAACGTAAATGCAAAATTGCCAATTTCGAGTGTATTTCCTGTCAACAGAAATTTTTCTCTTTTTCCTCTCTACGGCGAAAATAAAATTAAAAGCAAAAAACAAGAGCTGAGGGAAAATATAAATCGTTTGAAAAGGGGCGTCGGTTTCCCTCGGCTTCATCTACTTCTTATATCGCCTGGTGGCACCCATGTGGCCCATCTACTAAATCGCTCTGCTATTACGCAATGATGCACTGCAAAAAAAGCCATCATTTAATACAATATATATAGTTGGGATTGTTTAAAGATGTTTTCGGAAGTTAAGTTTAAATAAATTATCTTAAAAGTGTACACATAACTAAACCATGTACGAAATATATATGACATTTTACCAACACTTTGTATTTAAATTCTGTGTCGGGTAGGAATCTTCAAAAATAAGGAAATACCCAGGTGCAGGAACCGCCGATTTTCCACCGTGTAATCGCGTTAGGAAACGGCCCAAGACAGGCATAGATCCACTCCACTCCTGATGCCAGTGCCAAACGGTGGTGCTCTCGATGGCGGTGGTTGGTGGGCTTTTATTAATATGTCTGGCAATTTCAATTTGACTTTATTGGTAATTTTACATTTCGACTGTGGACGCTGGCGGGGGGTCCTTTGGAGGATCTGCTACTTGGACGTCTGCCATTTATCAGGAGGAGTTCCTGGGGAGTCCATAAATCTATTTTGCTCAATGGGATAGGTTATTCGAAAGCTGCAGAAAGAACACGAACTTCCGGAAACAAATTAAAGCTATAAACATGCAAAATACTGCCAAGTCGAAAGTAAAAGGAAATTTCTAGGACGAAATCTTTTTTAAAAAGAATTATCATGCATATATGTGCCGTTAAAGAAAAAGTTAACAAGTTATAAAACTACGTTTCAGATATTTTTGATTATTAAAGCGAAATCCCCCTAACGCAGTACAAACTACCGAAAGGTAGCTATATAACTAAGCCCGAACTCAATAAATACCACAATAAATTGGCATACTATCGTAGCCGCTTCACTGGGCAGTTAATGCAATTCATGGAATGCCGCACAGAACAAAAGCCATTCGATCAAATTATTGCTTAATTGAACAATTAATCGATTCACAAAGGATCCCGAAAGGATACTCGGCCAAGGGATAGGACACAAAGGAGGCGGTCGTATACATTTCACCCCCACTCACCACACCATCCTCCAATCCACAAAAACCAGGAAAAGAACTACGAGTAGATATCAAATTAATTTAGGCGGAAAACGAGCCAGAAAAACTTGGCGAAACGGGAATGAAAGTGGATAAGGAAAATGGCAAATGGAAAAGTTGGAGGACGGCACAAAATATCGCATGACCGAAAACAGAAAATCAAGCAACTCATGCCCCGATTGACTTACCCGAGTAGCAAATTAAATTAGTTGACGAACCGAACAGAACTGAACACATCGGAAAATAAGTGAGCTGGACCAGACCAAGCTGCACACTGAAATTTTTTTTATTTATTAATACTTTTAAATAGGCTATATTTTTCCTTTACCCTTTTTTTATAGAAATACACCATTAAGCAAGACTTCAAGTCTTAGTTTGGGACTAACGTCCGTATATTCTCAATTTGTATATTACCTTTTGCTGAATCCATTTTTCCCAGCGTAGACGACATCGATAGCTGGCCAAAGTGGCTGACCACTCATCGCCCTCTCCGCAGTATATATATTTATATATGTATCATTAATGTGACTATTTATAAGTGTGCGAGGGCTTTTAAAGCATTTTTGCGAGGGTCTGACTTTGGCTTCGGACTGTATATGAATGTAGGGGATGCAGAGGGGGGTTGGTCAGCTGTCGTTCGCTGACCAGCTAATTGCTAATTGATGTGTGTCTAATTGTGCCGCCAAAGTAGCCAGGCAATAAAAGCACCGCTCAAACACATGAACTCGTGGGACGTACATGTATTTATAGAGAACTGAATAGATCCGTTGGGTAGTAAAATCAGGTCCAAATTGGTTGAAATGTGGAGCATATTTTGGTTTTATTAATACAAGTGCCTAGAAATGGCTCAAAAGTTGCAAGAGATTGAAATCATTTCAAATTAGAATATTAGTGAGTTTAACTACAAACTTATAGACGTATTCCTCATCCAAATCAAGATCCAATAACTCAAGTTATCGCAATTATGCTGTTTTGTGTTCTCATTCTAGAACCCATTGGAATTACGAAACAATAGAAAATGAAAATGAGTTAAAATTTTGACCCTCGCTTAAAAGAAAACTTTTAATGTAGGATATTAGAGAATTAAACCACAAGAATTAATTCCACTTCGAAATTCGGATCCTAGAAGTCAAGTTATGGAATCTAGAAGTTCTGTTTTGGGTTCCCATGCTGGACTCCATTGGAATTGCTTAATATTCGAACATGAAAATGGGCTAAAATTTTGACCCTCGCTTAAAAGAAAACTTTTAGTGTAGGATATTAGAGAATTAAACCACAAATTCATAGAGGCATCCCACTTCGAAATCCGGATACTAGAAGTCAAGTTATGGAATCTAGAAGTTCAGTCTTGGATTCCCATTCTGGACCCCATTGGAATTACGGAATAATCGAACATGAATATGGGTTAAAATGTTGATCCTCGCTTAAAAGAAACATTTTAATGTAGAATATTAGAGAACTAAACCACAATTTCATAGAGGCATCCCACTTCGATATCCGGATCCTAGAAGTCAAGTTATGGAATCTAGAAGTTCAGTTTTGGGTTCCCATTCTGGACCCCATTGGAACTGCTTAATAATCGAACATGAAAATGGGCTAAAATTTTGACCCTCGCTTAAAAGAAAACTTTTAATGTAGGATATTAGAGAATTAAACCACAAATTCATAGAGGCATCCCACTTCGAAATCCGGATCCTAGAAGTCAAGTTATGGAATCTAGAAGTTCAGTTTTGGGTTCCCATTCTGGACCCCATTGGAATTGCTTAATAATCGAACATGAAAATGGGCTAAAATTTTGACCCTCGCTTAAAAGAAAACTTTTAATGTAGGATATTAGAGAATTAAACCACAAATTCATAGAGGCATCCCACTTCGATATCCGGATCCTAGAAGTCAAGTTATGGAATCTAGAAGTTCAGTTTTGGGTCCCCATTCTAGACCCCATTGGAATTACGGAATAATCGAACATAAAAATGGGTTAAAATGTTGACCCTCGCTTAAAAGAAAACATTTAATGTAGGTTATTAGAGAATTAAACCACAAATTTAAAGAGGTATCCCACTTCAAAATCGGGATCCAATAACTCAAGTTATGGAATCTAGAAGTGCAGTTTTGGGTTCCCATACTGGACCCGATTGGAATTATGGAACAATCGAACATGAAAATGGGTTAAAATTTTGACCCTCGCTTAAAAGAAAAATTTTAATGTAGAATATCAGAGAACTAACCCACAAATTCATAGAGGTATCCCACTTGAGAATCGGGATTCTATAAGTCAAGTTATGGAATCTGGAAGTTCAGTTTTGGGTTCCCATTCTGGACCCCATTGGAATTGCAGAGCTATCGAAATAATGAAAATGGGCTAAAATTTTGACCCTCGCTTAAAAGAAAACTTTTAATGTAGAACATCCGAGAATTAAACCACACATTTATAGAGGTATCCCACTTTAAAATCGGGATAGAATAACTGAAGTTATAGAATCTGGAAGTGCAGTTTTGGGACAAGATTTTGGAAGACATAAGAAACACAAAAAAATATAACATAGGAAATGCATAGGGCGTAACGAATTGTGTCTTATTTCTTTGTATACTTGCAAAGAAACTAAGAACACATCTAAATACTACCCAGAACTCGTAAATTGTAAAAACCCAGTAATCTTTATTAAATTGCCTGTAGAAGAATATACCTCATTGATAGATTGGTTAAAATAAGTGGCCGGAAGACCATCGAAGAGTAAGACCTTTCGTGTTCGTCGACCTCATCACCATCACCACCACTACCGCCATTATCATCATTATCATCCTTGTGGATCGGCTCATTCAAGCAATCACAATAGAACGCCCCGTGCAACACACCTAAGCCGATTCGCGTTTAATTTGAGACCGAAAAAGGGCTAAACCACTTAACACTCTAACACCCTAATTGTCAAAACAAAGCCGGCACACGAAACCCGTCCGTGTCCGCTCGTCCTTTTTCTCCGCTTTCCTCTTCAAGGAGCTGTGCAGGGCAAAGAAAATATTTGCCATCTGAGGGTGTGTGTTGCTATTTTCTCGGCTTTCCAGGAAGGTGCAAACACAAACACATTTAACCCTTTGCTGACATTTGAATAAAATCCAGGCAACTTGTCAAAATCTGCGCGACACATCGAGTTGAACGGGCATGGAGCGATTTTCCAGCTGCCGCTTTATCGTGTGCGAAAAATCGACTTCTCGAATATCTGCCCGCCATTGTCTGCCGTTTAAAGGAAATAGGATTTGCCACAAAGATTGGGTTATGGTTTTTGTGCCAGGGATTTTGCTCGGGATCGGGGGCTACATCCTACGACATGTGTTTAGCAAGCGCCAGGAATTCGAGTAAGCCGTGGCGTATGGAAAGGGGTTGAAGACTTCTCAGAAATATGATTACAGATTCGGAATAATGGTAGGTAATCATTTTTGTTCACTCTTCAAAAGCTCTGCCGGTCTTAAATATAGTCTAACATTTTTCAGTTTTGTTTGTTCTCTGATTTAAAAATCTAAACCATTGAAGAGAAAACTTATGGATGATAAATAATTTTATATTAGAATTTTATATGCTAAATGGGAAAAGCTGGGTATCTTAACGTTTAGTCAACGCAACTTAATTTTTTTCCATTTTCTCCTGCAGAACAAGCTGCCGCACGAGGACAGGAGTATGCCAGCAGTTTGGCCAATGCCAGTGGTGACGAGCAGTCGCCCAGCAAAAATAGCAGTTCGTCGGGCAACGGGTCCGGAGGATCGGGATCCGGTTCCGGGGGTTCCGGTTCGGGAAGCGCCAATCAGACCTCCAATGGACTGGGACATTTAGGCTCGCCAACGGCCAACAATGGTGGTTCCGCTGGGGGAGCCGGAATAAGCGGATCGGGTGGAGCTTCTGGAACCTCCGGGAGCACCTCCACATCCGCTGGAAACGGCGGAAACTCCGGCAGCCGCTCTTCGCCAGCTGGTGCGCACCACTCGGCCGCCCTGGCCGCCCATCAACATGCAGCGGCTGCTGCGGCCGCCGCTCATCATCATGCCGCAGCGGCCGCCGCCGCCCATCATGCCCACCACGCCCACGCCCAGGCACACGCTCATGCCCACGCCCATGTCCACGCCCATGCCGCCCACGCTGCCCATGCGGCCCATGCCCATGCCCATCATGCCGAGGCGTTCCTGGGGGCCGCTGGCGGACCTGGAGGTAATCCCAACAGCCTGTTAGCCGCCCATGGCGCGGATGTCCTGGTTGGCCCCGGCGGAACGGGTCCCGGGGGAAAGAAGAAGAACAAGAGGCGACATGGCAGGACGATCTTCACCAGCAGCCAGCTGGAGGAGCTGGAGAAGGCCTTCAAGGAGGCCCACTATCCGGACGTGAGTGCCCGGGAACTGCTGTCCATGAAAACTGGCCTGGCCGAGGATCGCATTCAGGTAAGCAGTCCCCTATATTCGATATTAGCTATAAGGAAGTGTCCCATAAATAAAATCATTGATCATTGATCATATTTAAATCAATATTATTTTATAAATTTATAGTCAATACTAAGAGTTGAAAATTGATTTCCTCGACTTTAGAACTTACCGATTCACCTGAGAGGAACTGTTTTCTGACTGTCCCTGAGTAAATCAAGGATTCTCCATTTTGGGTTTTGCGGCTTTTTTAATGGGGAAATGGGGGGCTATCAGGCTGTCACGTAGCACTGCAGAATCAAGCTAAGGATACGCGAGCGTTCTTCTGCCATTTTATAGCCATTTTTATGGCTTTTCTCATCCAGAACTGGAAAGGATTGTAATCAAAGGCGGCTTCGATTCGATGGGAGTGTTTCGTGGCCCCCATAAAGGAAATTTAAAAATGGGGAGTGCACATGGCACTTGGCAAGTGTTGCCACACGTAATGAGGCCTCGCTGATTACGTAATTACGAATGCACACAATTGCAATTGCAACGTCCAAGTAGCGAAACAAAAACGGAAACGGAATGAAGTAAGAAAACGTGGCACTTGGCACTCGCCGACACTCCAAAAAATTCACAAAAAATTCGTTACAAGAGCTCGCGAGGTGCGAGCTTCAAAATAGCAAATTATACTTTTTAAAGCGCCCGTTCCGATAATAGAAACTGAAACCAAACCAAACACAAGGGGTAAATAAGTCCAAATTAGAGCTGCAATGAAGGGAGTTGTAAAATCTTCAGGGCAAGGGAAAGGAAAAATTGTATGGATTAAATAGTACAAAAAAAAGGTTTAGTCAGAGTTTTTTAAATAGTCCAAGTGTTGGATTAAGATGGAAATTGTCTATTAACTTTTTTAGATTAGAATCTTGGTAAATGTAAAAAAAATATTTTATTAGAGTTTCAAATCAAAACATTATGGTTGAAGTGAATATGTGAATATTTACATTATTATTCAAGTTTAACAATATTTTCTATTTATAATTTTTTTTAAAATAAAATATTACAGATTTTTGATAGTAAATTTAAAAATAGAGCATTGGGTATGAGGTTCTGACAAATAATTAATTTTATTTTTGCTTATAACTGGTAATCATAAGACTTATAGCTCCAATGGCACTTTAATTTTTGGGGACTTCCCCTAATAAATCAACCCCACCTTTCGCAACTCCCGTTATTCCATTAACCACTGGAAAATCCGCAAGATGGCGCCACATCAATTGCACCGTATGTGGGTGTGAGTGCATCCTGCTTTGCATTTGTGTGCGAAAATCAAATTAACAAGCACAATTGGCCGAAAGGCAAAAAGAAACACCAACAAAAAAGCCGACAGTCGGGCAGAATGAAGAAGAAGAGCTGCAGTAAACATAATACCAAAACATTCACACACGCAAATACACTTCAATTAAGTGCAAATATGGCGCACAGCTGGAAAAGAGAGTGGTGAAAGAGGGGATGGGAGGGCGAGGAGGAGAGGCAATCATTAGCAGCACTATAAGAATGGGCTGAGAAAGGGGAGGGCGAAAGGAGAAGAGGGAAGTGGAAAGGGGAAAGGGTAAAGGGGGAGGAGGAAACAGGAAAGAGGAAGAGAAACGGCAGCCATGCAAATTTGCAAAAAACAACGGCAAATATCGGAGCCACCATTCAAAGTCTCTCCTCTCTCTCTTTTTGTGTGTTTTTTGCCTGCCGTTTTTAATTGCATTTCATTTTGCGTGCATTTCGCGCATTATGTGTGTTTTCTGCAATTCTTCCCCTTTTTTGCATAAATTTCCCCTTTAAAACCAAGTAAAAGAAACATGGCCAAACATGTTTTTCAGCCTCTCTCTGTCTCTCTCGCTCGGGAATTGCCTTCTCTCCCTCACTCTTATTGGCTTTTTCTGCTGGACTGGAAGTTGCCAAAAGATTTGCCATCGCCGAAAGCCAACGACCAGGCGACAAAGGCGTCGCAATCCAAACAAAATGCTAATCGCTATCAACCTTAGGCAGTTGGACATTGTTTTGATGTTAGTGATGATGAAAATTACTACGCATTTAATTTTTTACCATCCCAATCTTTTTGTATTAATCACTTTGTCATTCCATATCATATCACATATTCTGAAAAAAACTGGCAAGATAAGGCTATATTTTACAATTAACATTTAACAAATTAATCTTTCATTTCAATTATTGTAACCTATTAAAGGTGTGACAAGGACGGAGCTAGGATGTGCACACGTTGTCTGCCAAATTTAAAACTTTTTTGCACTTCTCTTTGGCCGCTTACATCGCCCCCTTGTGTTGCTAATTTCCATACACATTAACAGAAAAAAGAAAAGGCAAAAACAAAGAGCAGACCCTTTGAGAAAACATGAAACATACAATCGCCTTTTAAAACAATGCAAATTGCATAAAATGAAAAAATCAAATTGCACTCCACCGCATGTTCAAATTTTTTCCAATTTGCTACAAAAAAATGAGAAAAAATTGCCACTTTCGCGATTTTCAAAAGACAAAAGAAACTGCACTTGCACTTCAAAGAAATAATAAAGAGCAAGTGTTTCCTTTTTTCCAAATCTTTGAGTGTTCTTTAGCCGAATAATCGAGACTTTCAAGCTTTTAAAATTAAGAAACAAAAGAATAATTGGTTTAACCAAGACTCGGGGACATTGGTATTTTCGCTATATTTTAAATAGGTCTCGGAAAATGAAAATAATGAAATAAAAAAAGTACTTAAAACGCTGTTATTGGTCATAAAACTGTAACCAGGTGATAAGATGCATAATGAAAATTGCTCACATAAAATTAAAACAGCTTACACTATGAAATTGCATTTTTATATTGCAATAATACATAGTAGCTTGACATGCTCACTAACAATTGCAAATTGCACCATCTATATTTAAATTTTGCATAATTTGGTTGCTCCTTGCATTAATTACACACTTTTGCGTTTCTTTTCTCCTGCGCTTTTAATGAGCTGTTAATATTAACGCACACATGAACCAGCAAAGGGAAAAATGAAATTAAAAATGATTATGCATAATTATGTAATTAACATTTAAACAAAAGAGGTTATGGCTGTGCAACAAAAGCATTTAACAAATTGCTATTTGTGCGTCCCCCTTATTTCTCACATTTTCTCACATCAGAATGTTAAAATATTGTTGCCAACAATTATATAGTTTTTCTCTTAAAGTCCATAAATGTTTGATGCGTTCAGAGTTCTGGAGGCCTTATACAAAAGTATAAGCCTTAGAAATACTTTTTTCTATTCGTGTCTTAAATATTACATTTAAAATGCAAAAAATCCCAAATGCTATTTTTATAGGCAGTAATACTAGCTGTTTTAGAACTTTGGCAGCAGCGTTTGTAATATACCCTTTTTAGGCGTATTTTAAAAAGTCATTTATCACGGCATTAGCAACACCGATTGAGTTCGTCCGCCCGGGACCGTCGCACCCCGGTCACTGGGCATCATAGATAGATAGATACATATATTTCTGGCTGCAGACTTGGGTTCGAGGGGGTGTTAAGTGTTGTCAACTCAAGCAGATTTAATTTGCCATGTTTTCGCTTTGCTTTTTTCGTGATGCTGCTCAAGTGCAACAATAAACAAGGCAAACAACTGTAAATGCAAATGTTGACATCACACCGACCGAATTGAAATAAAAAACAAGAATTTCAGAAGGGAATAAAAACAGGACGAGGCCGCGTGGCGGGGAATTTAAAGCGATTCGGTCCTTGGAGAATTGCGGCACATGTCGTTACGTCAGCAACCCTGGGAAAACTTGAACTTTTACAACAGAAGATTAAGTTGTCCCCGGGGAAAAGGGGAGAACGGCCGCAACTTGTCTGCGAAAATGGAAAATTGACCGTTTAATGTTGTCGGCCGGCAGCATTTCTTGTTAATGTTTCATATTGTTCCTAATGTTGTTACTAATAAGTACTCGAGCAGCCGGGGGATGCGCGACAAGTGTTGTTGTCAAAGGGCGACGAAGGAGGGAAACGGCAGAAGGGGGAAGTCCCCTGTTAAATTAATTAGTTTTTGGTCGCTATTGTCCCGGAGAATCCCCACCCCGAGTTCCTGATTTTCCGTCGCCTTTGTGCGGCCCTAAACAATCGCGGGACTCGATGATAATCCCTGAAAAATATTGTCGCTGGCGCAAATAATTTCTTAATTAATTTGCACTTGCACAGCGAAGTGCAGTGAGTTATTTAGAAAGTTAATTGATGAGGAACTCAATTTGTTGACCTCTTTCTATGATAAAATACATAACTACAACTGATTTATATCAGACATAAGCGGTAAAATGATGGTTTAGTTATAAAGACAGGGCTGCTCTTACCTCCTTGTTGATCTGGAGGTGCCTTGATCGAGGAAAATATAGATCGTAGGTAAGGGCACACAGCGAACACACGCGAAACTAGTCGGGGTTTTGCACTACATGCGGGGAGGTCTTAATTGATTCACTTCTAAATAGGAACTGGCCCAATTTGAGCTTAAGAGCTCCAGAGCTTAGTGGAGACCTGGAGACTGTCGGAGGGGGAGAGCGGTGTGAGTGATATGGACGTTTCTGGAGAAACCGTTTATGATACAATTGCATATAGAAAGAAGAGTGTGAGTGAGATGGAGTCATCTTGAGAAACCGTTCATTGATAATCTTGTAAATGGGCACTAAACTACGCCCAGTCCAGGTAAAACGGTGCAATGCACTTGCATATAGGAATTGATTAGCATAACCAAAGCTTAAAGGCGTAGACTTGGGGAACTGTCTGAGAGAGAGATCGAAAAGTGTTTCATTGATACAGTTGTATATAGGAACTAACAAAGCCTAGCTCAGGTAAAGGTTAGGAGAGTGTGAAGGGGATACACATATATATCTTGACACACTGTTCATTGATTCAGCTGTGTATAGCAACTAAGATCCCCTAGCTAAACTTTGGGAAGAGTGTGAGTGAGATGAGAAACCGGACATTGATAATCTTGTCAATGGTCACGTACATAAGAAAAACTTGGGTAAAACGGTACGAAGTGGAGAGATGGTGATGCGTGCTTTTAAACTCTCTATTTACACTCTATAACAAAATATTCTGTTTTACAAATTAAGCCAATACCAAACATATACATAAGTGTATACATACATACATACATATATGTACATATGTACATAAAGAAAATAATCAACTGATGCATAGGCTTACATTTAACCCTGAAACTGCAAAGTTATTTTTAAATGCAATACCCCTTAAAAATTTCAGCAATTTTGGTGTTGAATAAAGTCCCTCCTCTTGTCCCAAACCCAGCGCCCTCTGACCCAGTTTTACTTTTTAATTGCGTATTACGTTGCAGGGCCAAAAATAGAGATAATAGTGATAAGACACCCGAGTAACCCCCAATACCCCACACACAGATCACTAATTTGGGTTCTTTGCTTTTTTGCAGGTCTGGTACCAGAACCGCCGGGCCAAGTGGCGCAAAACCGAAAAGTGCTGGGGCCACAGCACCAAAATGGCGGAGTACGGTCTCTACGGGGCGATGGTGCGGCACTCGCTGCCCCTGCCGGAAACAATTATAAAGTCGGCCAAGGAGGACGAGTCGGTGGCTCCCTGGCTGCTGGGCATGCACAAGAAGTCCCTGGAGGCCGCCGAGCTGCTGAAGAGCGACGAGAGCGACCGCGAGACCCCAACCTCGGACGACACGAACACCAGCTACTCCGCCGGCAGCACCCACAACTCCCCGATCTCAAGCTTCTCGATCTCACGGCTGCTCTTCGACGCACCCCCACCGGCGGCGGGTTCCGCAGGGGGCAAGGGGCACCACCACCACCACAAGGGCCACCACCACGCCCACGTTCACGCCCAGGCACAGGCGCATGCCCACATGCTGTTGCACCACCAGCAGCACCACTTGCACGGCGGAGAGCCCTCAGGATCGGCTGGGCCACCGGCCCACCACCCCTACAACCAGCAGCAGCACCTGCACCACCTGCAGCAACTGCAGCAGCAGCAACAGCAGCAGACACAGCAGCAGCAACAGCAGCAGACACAGCAGCAGCAGCACCACCACCACCAGGTGCACCACATGCACCACCACAATGCAGCAACCGCAGCAGCCGTTGCTGCAGCAGCAGCGATGGCTGTGGCCTCCGCGTCCTCCGCCGTGACCATCGCCGAGTCCGAGGCTGAGGAGGAGCAGGACGACATCGAGGACATGGAGCTGGACAAGGACTGCGAGCTGGAGGAGGAAGTGGAGCGCGTGGACAACGACAACGAAGGGGATGCGGACGTGGAGCCCGAGATAGACATCTGTGACGACCACGACGAGGAGGTGCGTCTGCAAGAGCAGCTCTTGCTGAAAGTCAAGCAGGAGCAGGCCCACCACGGACCAAGATGAAACATGTACATCGACGTGTTGTTCTAAGGACAACGGTAAACATACAGGATTCGAAACACATCCGGCTAAATGCAATGAACGTTTTCTAAGCATAGACGAGCTTTTTGGTCTGGGTTGTGTGCTGTACTCAAAATGTTTTCAAAACAAACGTCAAAACAATATTTGGTCTTCAGGCAAAACACACAGCCCAGGCTAAAAACCTTACATTAAAGGCATTACATTCATAACAAACGAAAAACAAAAACCTAAACTTAAAGCCAACAACAATTTTTTTTCATACACCTAAGCTGCACAAGTAATTAATCTATACATGATAACATATATTCTCTCATTTTTTAGTGTAAATATTAAATTATTACAAGTATGAAAGAAAAACACAAGACATTAGCGCGTAAAAAGAGCTGCAACGATTTGCAAAATTTTTAAAATATGCTAAATGTGATTTAATTTAGTTGTCAATTCTAAACAAGGCTTTTTATGGTTTAAGACTTTTGTTTGCCTATTACATTTAGTGATTTTTTTTAACTGAACTTTCCTTCCTGTAAAAAATGTACATACCAAGTCAAAATTCAATCAATCCATCAACGTATATGTACACGTGCTACAACCTGAAACGTAAAACAGTCCACTGCCTCTGGCCCTAATATTATCTACTTTTTTCCTTCATAACTCAAATTTTTTGCAACAAAAACGAAAATACATAAAAACCAGCAAATTGTGTAATTAATTAAAAAACAAAACAAATCCACATACAATACACATACTTATATATGAAAGTTAGATGAAATAAAATGGATGATATATAAATATAACTGGCTTTGTGTTATTTTCTGAGGGTTCTGTTCAAGATAAATATTTTGTGGAGCAAAACGGTCGTATGGCTATGTCACCTGCTTTAATTTCGACTAAGTGACTGGGTTTATTTAAAAATGCATTACAGACTATGGAATATAAGTACATTTTTTCATTGACTGCTTTCAAAGTTTTATTTTTTCATACTACACCAACAAATTCATTATTGGGAGTATTAAAAAAGTCAATTATTTAAAAATCTTGGTGGATGTAATAACAGATCCGTAAAAAAGGGTTAAGCAACATGTAATATGTTTACCCATTCGAAATGCTGACAATTTACAATTTAGTTACCTGACATACTGTAACATACATAATGTAAAATGTTTCGTGTAAAAGGAAATATATGTAAATTGGATGTCGTTAGGTAGATAATTTGAAATGTATGTTAACTAATGTAACTCAAGAAGTGTCGTGTAAGAGATATCATTGTCAAATGTAATGTTATAAACGTATGTCAAATGTCCCTGTAAATTCCAAGTGTAATGTAGTTATTTTGAACTGTATCTTACAGGCATTTAATTTTACTTTAAAAATTGTAGGTATTCTGACGTTTTCTTGACACATAGAGGGAGTTCTATAAATAGAATTGGCCAGTGCCATCACAGTTTCTAAGGGTGAAATTTTTAAATTTTCAATCAAAGCAGAAACACTTGTAGGATAACGCTCAAAATTTCATACCTGTTTGACCGAATCCGTTGCGCTCCTAAAGGATCTACTCATTCATGATGAACTGCAGAAAGCGGCGGTAGTTTATGCCCCGCTCACACTTGGTATCCTCCATTCCCTGGGTAAGGAGCTGCAGCTCCTCGTCGGTGAAACGCTCCTCGTTCCGATTCAGCAGCTCCAGCAGGCGCTTCGGCTCAATAAATCCGGAGCGCATGGGATCCGAGCGGCGGAGGGCGTCGATGAACTCATCCCTCTTGACCATGTCCATGTCGATGGCATTGCGCCCCACCGCCTGCAAGTAGAGCCGGGCCTGCAGGAGACGCTCCTCCGCCTGCTCGTCCTTGGCGAACACCTGGTGCACCAGGTGCTCGTAGTGCACATTGCCGGCGATGTCCGAGGCGCAGTGCAGCAGGCTGAAGACCTCCGCCTCGTCCAGCCGGTCGCCCATGGTGGTCAGCATGTGGCGCAGCTCGGAGTAGGGCAACACTCCAGTGCCCCTTGGATCGCGGCTGCGCAGGACCTGTAGCGCGTCCTCGGCTGAGGGACCTTCGTCCTCGTCGGCCATCTGGCAATAGAGTGTGAGCACCAGCTCAAAGAACGCTCGTTGGGAGAACGCCGCTCCCACCGGTCCCGTTGCCTCTCGCCGACGCAGGTGCTCCGCCAGGCGAGTGGCCAGCCAGTGGTCACTTGGACTCAGGCCCATGGTGCGGAGGCAGTCCGCCACATCCGACAGTTCTATGCTGGCTGCAGGATCCAAGCCTTCGTGAAACATATAGAAAAATGTCCTAATTATATTGTACACATTGCAGTAGCAACAGTTTATTATAGTTTAAAATGGCTTTAAAATGGCTTGATGTAGAGCTTTTTTGTGCAATAATTGTATAAGTAAACTGAAAGCATGTATTTTAGGATCTAGGCACTATGGTTTCTTAAAAATGTTGTTTATTTCAAATCTACGCCGCCTAGATTAAACAAATGTAAGTAAAGGCAACGGTGCGTGTGAGTGATAAACATTAACCCATTGCGCAGACCCTAAACCTTAGTCCATACAAAGTATAACTATTGGTGGCACATACCCTCTGCTCCTGCTTCCGTTTCTGCTCCTGCTCCACTCTTAGCTCCTGTTCCATTGCCATTAACTACGAACAGGTCAAATATGTTTCGCAGCTTTGGAACTTCTGGCAGCATTATCATCAGCTCCGATTGCTTGTGGAAGAATCCGAGTCCGCGAGTGGATTGCAGTAGATTTTGCGACTGTGGCTCCCGCTTCCCTTTCATATTAATTTTGCCCAGCACTGGAAATTGAACAACAATTTACATAAGTAATAAAAACAGAACAAATTTTGTTCAGAGTGCCAAATGGGAATAGGTTTTTTATCCAGGCGGATAACATTGAAGTCAAAGAATGCTTCGCCTTAAAAATATATGAGGTTTTTTTTGCAAAAAATGGCCAAAAATAAGAGTCGAGGCTTTATTGCCAAACGATTAGAAATTTTAATTGCGAGCTCAACGAGGTGTGTTATTTCTTATTCTAACCCTGGTTTTTACAAAAACGCCGCTACTTTTTTGCGGGTTTTCGATCGTAACTTGGTCAAAACGAAATGCACAGCTGATAATTCTATGACATTCCCTAGCAACCTAGGCTAACGATCCCTATCCCATTCCAGGCAATAATTTTTGTACCCATTTTCACATTATTTTTTGCGAATTGTTAAACTAAAAGTAATGTAAATGTTTGTATCTCTTCAGCTCCCACATTGCTAGACTACTTCCGTCTCACTCTGATTTGTGTTTTCTGAATGTGAGAGATACAAAAATATAAATTACTTCTCTAGAGACGTAATGACTTCCACATTCCACTCTGATTTGTGTTTCCTAGCTATGAGTACTCCTACTCCTCTGCTTTGTGACCAACTGGTTCTCGAGTTCCGAGACACAGCTTAAGGATTGACTGTGTCGATTCTTATCATTCTGAACCCTATTTTGTACAATGTCGTTTATTTGTTGGATTGGAGATTGGCTTTAGTTTAAAAAATTGAAACAATTTCTAGACATCACATTAGTTATCTCCAGGCTTCGTTGACTCATCCAATTGACTGGGAAGTGTCGTCCTCCACAAGATTTGGCAACTCAACCATTTCACTACGAACTTCTGGTGGCTGAATGATTTTATGACGCTCCACCGAAATTTCTTGGTCAGGTTCTTCTTGAATTACTGCACAACTTGGCAGTTGAGCCGTATCTGTATCATCCGCACAACTTTCCAACTGGACTCCTCCGTCAATCTCCATGGTTGTAGTGTCTTGTTCCTCCGGCAAAAACTGTATAATACTATCGATGTCCAAGTCCTCGTGACTCTCAGTTGCCTGAACAAAGGAATCGCCACTTTCCTGTGCGTCAACGACGAAAACACGTGAATCGTTAATGTCTATAGCAACGGTATCCTCCGGATGGTACACGATCTCGCCGTTCCCGCCGGTCAAGATGACGAGATCCCCATCGTCGATACGAATCTCATGCACGGCAGGCTCGTTCTCGGTAATCGGCGAGACCCCGGTATAGCATTCATGAGAGCCATCCGGTTGCATTACGAACATATTTGCAACCGGATCGATGCTTATTTCCTCAGTTGCTACCTCCTTCTCCGGCTGTGCTACCGCTGATGCCGATTGGATGATCTTTACCGGAGAACTAGATTGCAGATCGTCTTCGATGAGGGCCTGTTTATCAGGACTGTCCTGCTTCCTACATATTAAAGAAAATATGTATTACTATATGGATGAAAAATGAACAAGGTCAAACATATTATTTTTTATACTTGGGTTTCAAAACACTTTAAATTTACCTCTGTACTACTCTACCTAAATGCTAGCTAAACAGAGGCTTAAGAGATTTATAGATATGTATGTACATATGTATAGGATTGAATGGTACATATTGTTAGAACAGTGTGAAGATGTTTAATATGAAAAAAGTATCCAAACTCACTTTTCACTTTTTGTCAAAGTTTTTGAATTAACTGGCGTTACGAGACTTTCCAAGCTGCCCGTCATTTCGTTAAAGTGAGCCTTTTGGTCCTTGATCTCCCTCAGCTTCTTGTCGACGTGTTTCACATCGTTTCGCTGCGATCGCATGGAACTCTTCGACAAGCCCGGCTTTCCACGCTCACGTTCATCGTCCACAATTTTTTCGCCCTTCATCGTTGTTTGATTTTTCAATTTTTTTTAACGAACACGAAAATAATATTTGTAAGCAGAAAGATGAAGTCGACTAGTCTCAATGAAATCCCTTCTCAAAGTGACTAAAACATTCGTGTGCACCTCTACAGCAAAGGACCCGCCTACCAAGTTGGAGTGCTGAAAATGATATATGTACATTTTTAGGGAATGCTTTCATAAAATCAGATTTTCGTTATCGGAGGTAAAAGCCTTCGAGGGACTACACAACCCTTAGGGCATTCCCTAAACTGTTGAACTGCTGAATTCTTTAAGCCATGTTCAGAAGCCCTCCGTGGGATTGCTGAAAACCATAGTTTTTTTATTGAACAGAAACCGTGATCCTGCTGAATTTTTAACAATGTAGCAGTTCAGCTGGTTCAGTTCAGCCTGAAACTGGGCTTAGTTTAAAAGCTTAGCAATTACATTGTAAAAATAAAATAAATACATATCTTTATTGTGACAAAAAATACTTCACCTAAAAATATTTCGAAAAGTCGTTAAATTCGTACTCCTACAACATTCAATGTATTCTACTGGATTTTTGTTTTTTCCTTGTGTTTTTGGGCTGCTAAAAAGAGATAAAACCACCGATTCGAAGTGACCGATGCGGATATTTGATCTTAGGCTAAATTTTTGGTGGAACTCTCGAGTCACGAGTACTGATGCGTGCTTGGTAGAGGGCACACTCTGGGATGCGTTTGAAAATGAAGGGCTATCCGTGCGGCTGCGCGCCTCGGACTGCAGCTTAAGATTTTGGCGTTGGGAGGCATTGGGCTCGCTTTAAGGCTGTTTAGGACCCCGCAAATATAGTCTTGCAGTGGGTGATGAGCGAGGAGAGCATGAAAATCTCCTCCGTAAGGTTTGTCATGTGCTGAGGGGTGGCAATCAGCGTGGGCGCAAACACGGTGGCCAAATTGTGCTCGTTCATCTTGTTCACGGCGTAATGGGAGGCCACGCTGTGGTAAGATCAGCTGGTCAAAGATCTTCGGAACTTAGTGGCTAAACAGACACCAACTTACCGCTTCAGGTGCTCCAGCATATACTGCAGGCAGCTGTGGTGGGCGGGCGGCAGGCGACGCACTGCCTCCGCCATGAGCTGCCGCTGCTCCGTCTGCTTGTTGGTGCCTGGGAAACAAACAGCATGATTAGGTCCAGCAAACCCATGTTTAGGGGTAGGTAAAGCTCACGTCCTGCTGCCATGAAGCTGGGGTAGGCCTGGAACGTGATGAGCGGCACTGGGAGCAGGCGTAGGTACAGCTTTAGGGTCCCGGCAATCACATTCACATTTCCGTAGGCCGTCTCCGACATGTCCGTCGTCTCGCCCTCCCGATCCAAGGCCAGCTTAAGGGCCTCGATCTCATCGGCGAACCCGGACACCCGGTATATCCCCTCCTGCAGCATGCCCCTGGCCTCCACCTCTTCCACGCAGCGCCGCACCACGAAGGGTATCTGGTGGTGCGGCTCCAGCTGCACCATGGTGGTCAAGTCAGTGCCGAATACGCCACGTATGCGCTTTAGGTCCGGCACACACTTAGGCGGCACCAGCTCGGAGCACTTGCTGTGCGCCACAAAGCCGCAGGCTTCGCACTTGACGCCCTGTGCGGTGAATCCCCACAGGAAGTTGGCACAGAACTCGCACCAGTTGAGGCCCTTGAAGGTGTGTACCTGCAGGAAGGCAACACTTGGTTAAGGTCGTCATTGTAAATTATGGATTTACGCTGAGCCCACCTTAAAATGATGCGGTTTCTCGTACACCAGCGGCATCGGATCCGCGGCAGGTGGCGGCTCCAACTGCTTTTGCTCCTTTTCCTCGACTGGCGGGGACTCCTTGGCTGCCGAGGCCTTGCCCAGCTCATTGGAGAGGGCCCTCAGCTTCCGTCCGTTTAACGTCATGTAGGGGCTCTGCTGGTAGCAGTTCTTGGTTTGCTGGTTTATTTGCTGGATGATGGGGCTGGCGTGGAGCTGCATGTGGAAGTTGATCAGCCCGTCGGCGACCATGTCGTGAACTGTATCGAATCGCTTGTCCTGGCCGCGCAGGTAGTGACCTACGCCGGGTTTGTGGAGCAGCTTGTAGTGCTTGGGGCGCTTGTTGAAGCGGAGACTCAGCGTGTAGTAGCCGTCAGACTGGGGGCTCCGGCGGACGAAGTAGCTGCCGTCGCGGGCGTTGGCCAGCAGCTGCTCCGCCTCCAAGTGCCCCATAAGTCCGTGGTACTCAGAGCCGTACAGCCGTCCAGCCAAGTTGTTGGCCTCCACAGCCTCCGCCGTACTCTTTGCCGGCGGCAGAGGCAAGGTACGCTGGCAGCGCAGCGGACACGGAGCCGGTGCCTCCAACTGGAGTTTGTACACTGTTGGGGAGGTGGGGAATCGATGTAGTGGACGTGGGGGTCATAAGTGCAGCTCCTCCACTCACATTCTGGCTTCCAAACCTTCTGAACCGGAGAACTGGGCTCGGGAGCACCACCTACACCGCCGGAACCGAGAGTTCCCGCACTTCCGGCGCCCGCCTCCGTGTTCCGGGGCATTCTCCTTGGAACTAGTAGACCAATAAGTCAAGTCACTCAGTAGGCGGCAGTTAATTGATAAATTAATTTAAGTAAACCCAATGATTCTTAATTTTTTGCTTGGCAGGCGAGCAAGGTTGCCAGGCCGTCGAATGTTGTGCGGTATTAAGCTTAAAAAAAAAATACCAAAATAAAAATACTACAAATTTAAATTTATTTTTGATACACAACCAATTTGTACAATTTATTTTAGACGAAAATATAAAGCCCATTGATGTTAATTCCGAAATATATACACATGTACGTAAGCATATACTCAGAAACATTGTGCCTAGGTTCTGAGCAAATAAAGTCAGAATAAAACCCAAAACATATTAAACAAAATGATACTTCTCACAGTCCGCACGAAAGTAATTTTGATCACCTAGGCAAATTTATCATCTTCCCTTTCCCGCTACATATCAAAACAACAACATAGGTTCAATTGGTTTAATAGATTTAAGTACGTTTCTTTTGTAAAAAGACCTACACATTCATTGCTTCTCTTTTTATTATTTATTAAATACAAATATTAAATTATTTAAAAAAAATAAACATGTAAAACTTCAAAATGCGCATTTAAATTCGGACACACGCCACCGACGCATATCAAATTTAATTTAGAAATACTTTTTCGTGATACTCTCGCTGATTTCCACTGAAATATAATATATGTATCGAGTGTGATTGGTACAAAAGAACGCCTGCACTAGGTGATAATTGCTGGTTAACCTTCTAGTTTCCATTTAGAATAATACGCACATTCACAGACGCGGTGATTAGTTATGGTTAATAATGAATCTATGTCTACATCGATGGTTAGTTTTGGAAGAGGGAATAGCTCCAATCTCTGTTTTCAGTTTGCTTCAGTTTTCAGCTGCTTATTAAGGACTTTCCCCTGTATGTATATATATCTCGATATCCTTGGTCGTTGTCCTTGGTTTGCAAAACAGAATTTGTTCCTCACCCGGGAGAAGAATGGCTAAGTTGGAATCACGGAGTTGGAACTTCTGGCGGAATGAACGGATCAGCTAGCTTGGCAGGTGTTTTAGTGTTGCTGTTGTGTTGGATAGTGTGTGTTGCTTCTATTGTCGTGGTGCCGAACAGTTGGAATCGGAAGGACCCGGCCGGCCTAGCCGCTCATGACCATGCGAACAAACTCCTCGTAGTTGATGTTGCCCTGCTGGTCCTCCATGTTGGCCAGCAGCTGCTCCACCTCCTCGTCAGTCAGCTTCTCGCCCAGCGTGGTCAGCAGGTGACGCAGCTCGGCGGAGGAGATGTAGCCGCTGGCGTCCTTGTCAAAGTGACGCAGTCCCTCGATAAAGTCATCGGCCGTATCGCCAGAACGGGCCTTCGAGATCGCCTGGTAAATAGGCAGGAACACCTCGAACGAGATGCGCTCGTCGGGTTTCAGCTGGTGGGTGCACTTCTTCACGTCCGACTCCGTGGGGTTCTGGCCCAGGGCCCTCAGGCACTCGCCCACCTGGCTCAGCTGGATCTTGCCATCGCCGCGGTTGTCGAACAGGTTGAAAGCCTCCTGGAATTCTGAGGAAAAATGTGGCTGTTTGTTAGAGAATTATCATACAAAATCAACGTAACTCCTTTCACTCCTACTAGACAGTTAATATATTTAATTGTTCTTGAAAAATCCACAGTTATTTACCCCTTTAGGGGTTTTGTTCATACATGGATAGTAATTATGACACTAATTCACTACATAACTTTGAACTCAAAAAAATAGTCTAGTTTTATTTCGTAATAGTTTTCTTATTAACACATATTGGTTTATCACTCGGTGTTATCGGACCATTGGCCACTACTGCAGATTTTCAATTCTGCGGCTATTTATAACCCAGTATATAGATGAATAGATCACCTTCCAGGGTGGTAAAGGTTTGCTTCACGTGTGCAGTGTAGTAATACATATTGAACCACTCCGATGACCGTTTTGTCAGCTACTGACTGCCTGAAACTCCGTCTGCCCGGATTTGGCTGGCCATTGGATCGAGTCCGATCCCCTGCCACCCCGCCTTCCTTCGCGATCAGATACCCTGACTTCGCGGTAGAACTTCTATACTGGGAAGTGGCTGCAACTCTCTTGAAGTCGGGCCTTAGAGTAAACTGTTTACAATTGACATAAACAACCCGGGAACTCAGGAAATGGCTTGTTTTGAAAGGTTTTGTTTCGGGAGAAGTGTAGAACAAGGAATCGTAGGCTTTTCCAGGGACAGCGGTTGCAGTTGGATTTAAGCAAGTGAAGGTGTAAGTTCTTCAGCTCGAGAAGTTTTGTGGAATAAGTTAAATATACAAAAAATGGATGGCAGATGTTTGAAAGTGCAATGGGCAATGTGATTAAATATTAAATGGATTGCAACAAACAACCTTCTGGATTCTGAGGTTTTTACCGAAATACTGTGTTCCTTTAAAACGGTACAAAAACAATTTAAATGGATAAGTAAATTATGATGCATTCAGTATAATCTAGAGTGTTCAGAATTCGATGACCTGCACGGATGCTCAGCTTTATGTTTGGTTATCATGCGCATACGACATCCGTAAATGGCAAAAAACAAACGAATCCAGCAAATTTTTGCCCATTTAAGGCGATGACAAAACGACGGCGACTGGCGATTCGACACCGCTGAATGCTAAAGCTAAAGATTGCCAGACATTGCCGACAAGGTAAGTTAGAATTGGAAAATACATATGGTGTATGGTTATAGTACATACTGTCGAATGCTGTCGAACGCTGACGTCAGAGTCAGCATTGCTGAATTATCGGAGACCATTGACTTTGATTAGGCTAGCACAGGGAATTGCGTAAAAATTCGATTTGATTCGCTATGGAATCGGAATCCAAATCAGACTCGGAATCGCGTTGAATTTGAACTCAGAAAAGGCGCTTTTCCGTAAATGGAAGCTGATTTTTGTCAGATGGCTGTCTTATCGTTTGGTTTTTGCCACTGCAATTGCAGTTTTATTTGAAACGAGCTGCCGGTGGGTCGGAAAACCGGGTGATTATCCCACTGGGCAGCTCCTATATCTTTATCTTATCGCTCACTTCCTTTCGCCTTTTGACAGTGGTTTTCTTTGATACCCTGACAGAGGGTGTTGTAGTGGGGCTTAACTCTTAGATATGCATCAGGGGAGACCAACATTGATTTTTAGATGTCTACAATAAAATTGGTATGTAGACGTCTGTAACGGTTTCATACAACTATCCTAACTAACTAACATTGTACCACCGGGTGGAAGATCATAACATTGTTCCTTGCAGACACATGATTTCCTCCTAATTGGAGTATTGTTATGGGGGACGGTAGTGTTGAAGACCCATTAGAAAACTAAATGTACGCCCCATAGCTTGGATATCCTAGATATAAGGATATCCTCAGAGCTACAAACAGTCCACGGATGCCTCCTCATGGGCCACAGGGTGTCCCCACTTCGGCCTTCGGGTTTCCCCAGGGCGCTGCTGTTTCTCGGCCTTTTTGGGTGAGTCACGATCGTATTCGTATGGCTGCTTTCCAGCGCATTGGCTTTATCAATGATTCATGTTTTCGCCGCCTATAAAGCTGTGTAGCACTTACACACACCTTCGTGCCGTCGCTCTCCCACTCCCGCATTCCAGTGCCGAGTGGGAGGGAGAGGGCGCGATGTGCCAGCGCACACATATTTCAACGCTATTGGGTGGCCGACTTTTGGTTCTTGACCTTTGGAAACCTTTGGGAACACTCACCAGCCAACTGATCCTCGGTGTAAGCTGCCTGCAATGAGATTAGAAAACAAGGGACACTTGAGTACCGTTTCCAAGGTTTCCAGGGCAGCCTTCCATCCGAGACGATGGTAAACAGTAAATAGTAAACAGTAAACAGCGCCGCAGTAAACAGTCCGCCCTGCACTCACCATTTCGTTTTGTTTTTAGCTAGCTGGGGGAAAACAACACAAAAACACGGGAAATTCAATATTGTAATAAATGACCAAGCCAACAGTAAGACCGTGCAGCAATACCGTCCGGCTGTGGGAAATATACTTTTTATACCATTTTTATGCGCTCAAATATACCAAAAGAAATTCGTAGAACGGTCAAGCTAAAATGCAGGATGGTGTCCTTGCTAACATAGCGGAGACACCCTCCTGACACACCTTGCCAGATTGTTTACAGGACTTGGATCGACAGTGCTAGAAAACACCAAAATACAAAATAAACACGTGCCGCTCGGTTTGTTTTGCCCCGGGACGGTCCTTAATTTGACTTTAGATCTCTTTGGGCGATCCCAGATGAGCACCCAGAAGCTGGAGTACGACGCAGCCGTGGGCGGTCGCGTGACCCTACCGTCGCACGTGACCACGTACCACTACGCGGCCGGGGCGCTGCAGGAGATCCGGAACCTGGTGGCCGACTGCCAGGAGACGACGCAGCGGAGCAGCAAGCTGATCTTCCAGACGCTGCCCAAGCACATGCGCCGCCGGGCGATGTCGCACCACCCGAAGCGCCTGCCGCGCAAGTACCGCCAGGCGCACAAGTCCCAGATGGGCAAGGGCGGCAACCAGCCCGTGAGTAGCAAACGCCCCTCGAGAAAGTACCGTCGGCGCCCCAAGAACCTGATGCGGGAGTACGTGCGGCGGCAGAGGCGCCAAGTCTGGCTGGAGACGCACATCTGGCACGCGAAGCGGTTCCACATGGTTGACCGCTGGGGCCACCGACTGGCCTATGCCAGCTGCGACAAGACCTACCGCGCCTGCTATCGCGCCAGCTCGGAGCACTGTCTGCTGCAGGACATCTCGTTTTACTGCTGCGTGGAGCTGCGAGGGTCCTTGGACCTCCTGCGGAAGGGATTCGACCGGCTAACCAGTCCGCAGTGCGGGGTGGGAATCACGGCCAGAACGTTTTTAAGTGGGCGACGCGAGGGCAGCGTGGAGCTGTTCAAGGACGGCCGCTATCCGCATGGAGGTCTGCAGCGGGCCAGCTTCATGTGGCGGCCACGGGGGACAGAGGAGGACCAGGAAGAACACACGCTCTGGCTGTGGTTGCATCCCAGTGGCGCCCAAGCCACTCTGGAGGAACTGATCAGCGTGTTCCAGCTTAAGTCCACAAAACAACAAGTGTTGCCATTGAAGGAGGAAGAGGAGGAGCAAAAGATGGAGGTTGAGTCAGAGGAGTTGTCCAAGGGAAAGCAAGAGAATCTCAGCGAGAAGAGCCAAGGCAAGGGCAAGTTACAACAGGAAAACTTCACGAAGAAGTCGAGCCAAAATAACCTTCGCTTTTGGACACAAACAAAAGCCTTGGAACTACAGCCCAGTTACTCCAACTCCGAGAACACCCTCCGATTGGTAGCGCTGCAGCGGGAGTTCAATCGTTTCCGCTTGACAGGCCCCAGAGCGCAACGCGTTTTGCTTGCAAGCTTGCGTCCGTATCAACAGGGGGAGCTCCAGGATCAAGCCAACTACTGTCAGTCAGCCTTGCAGCTGAGCTCGCCCGCCGAACTGCTTTCCAACCTGGTGATGGGCCACCAGGTGGTGGATCCGCGCCTACAGCGACCGAAAAAGCGCACGAAAACAGAGGGGAAAGCGCCGCAGACGCTCTCCGCCGGCGATCTTCTCGTGGACCAGCCAAAGAGTCTGCCCGAAAGTCCATTGTGGAGCGAGGAGGCGAGGAAACGGCTGTCCCAGAACATCATGTCCACGCACACGTACGATCAGCTGCGTCAACAGCATGCCGTGGTGCCTGGTGCTCCCTGTGCCTTCGAACAGAAAATGCAGGCGGTTCCTTTGATTCTCGTTCAAAGACCGGGCTCCCAAGACCCCAGATACAAAAGACTGGCCTACGGTTCCGGCTGGGATGTGATTGCGCCGGCTGGATACGGCATGGCGCTTTGGTTGACGCTCACCATGTGGGGTGCAAGGCCGGGCGGGTTGAGGGAACTGGATTCAGTGGCTAGGGAGGCGGGCGCCGAGATGCATTTGCCGGATACAATAGTAGGTTAGTTGCTGTTACAATATATTCCGCATATTTGTCATCACTTCCCTTTTGATCTCTCTAGGACTCCAGCAAGCTGCGGCTGCAGCGGATGAGCACCGTGTCAGCTACTTCCGGATGCCGCCCAATAAGCGCACCAACTACCGAAGACTGGCGGTGGTCAGTCCGTTCAGTGCTCCCTGGAAGTACTTAGTGCGCGACTGGCGTCCACCTTCCAGTTCTGCCAGCGGACCATCATTCTATGTGCTGCGCCATCGCCAGCAGCTGGAGGAGATTGCCGAGAGCATTCGACAACGTAGACCGCTACCGGAGCCACTGCCCGATGAGGCACTCGTGCAGATCCAACTCCGGCTTGTATCCCGTGGTTATGTAAAAAGCAACGCCCTGATTTGCCTGCCCACGGCAGTGGATCACATGCAGCGTTGGCGACAGATTAAGCGCGTTGACCAGGCCCCGGTCTACGTTGAGCCACTGCAACCGGATTTGAATGAACAGTTGCGCAAGGATCTGCGCCAGAGTCACAAGCTGAAGCTGAAGCGATTACGGTCGGGGAGGGTGCGTGAAAAGCGGAAGCTTCAGGAGACTGCCACCCGTCGGGTTCACATACGGCCAGCAAACACAGCCCATCTGGTTCATGCCCAGCTGCAGCAGATGTGCCAGCTATGGCTGCCGACCGATCCGGCGGAGATGCGCGACAGCGTGCGCCGACAATGTAGCCGCCAAGTCTTCGGCTATGTGAGCTCGGCCGGCTTCAGCTTTACGGAGGCCCTTGTCTGTGCCGTGGGATACGTCACCCCCGCTGGTCTGCAGCAGCTCGTCGGGGAGCTGCCAAACTCCAGGGGTCACCAGAAACCGCCCCTAATGTGCCTGCTGCGCGACCCGGATAGCCGGGACTACCGCTGGGCCAGCTTCCAGATCAATCTGAATGTGGCTAGTCCAGCCTTTTAGTCTTATATTAATACTTCTAGTTGTTAGCCAACTATCACTGAGTATTAATTACTAAGTTCTGCGATGCTAAGTTTTCAAGAAAACCTGGCTTTAAAGCAAGGTGAACCAAATCTAATTTTACTTGGCTACTGATTCGTATACCTTTAAATATTTTTTAAAGTCTGCATTTGAATTTTGGCAAAAAAAACAAATTCTTAAAACCTGAAATGTAGAGCTTTAATTCTCTAATAAATCTTAGCTTTTAATTTTTTTAACCACTTTCCGAATTGCACTTCTTTTCTTGCAGATCCAATTTTTGTCCGAGATATTCATATTTATATCCGTTGCTCGTTAATTCTTTATTGAATTGCATGATTTCGGGGCTCGTGGATTTGAGGTACCAGGCGAAACCTAATGATTTAGGTGTTCAGGTGAATTGGGCGCCTTACTTTGGCCCAGTAACGGTTGTTTTCCAGAAAGTTTGAGAACGTTTTGCAGTGGAGTCAAAGTTTTGGGTTTTTATTTAGTTTGTCGGGCCATCTTCTATTTCAAGTACCAGGCGAACAGAAAAATCTATGGGCGTTATCCCTTATAAAAAATGGAAATATCAGCCAAAAAATAATATTCTCTTAAAGTCTAGCCTAGGATATTAGCTGCTCAAATCTGTCGGGTTTTTTGCTGTACGTCTTGATTTGGCTGAACTACGACTAAAAACCCCTAAAGAATTGGTATTTTTGACCAAAATCTGAGTCCCAAAAAATGAAGATGCAAATCCCTTACAAAAAATGAAAAAATGGGTCAAAAAATAAATTTCCTTTAAAATGATTGGGATTGTTAGCTTAGGATGTTAGCTGCTCAAAACTGTCGGTCTTTTGACTGTACGTCTTGATTTGTCTAAACTACGATTGAAAAACCGTTAAAAAATGAGAATTTTTTACCAAAATCTGAATCCCAAAAAAATACGATGCAACCCCTTAAAAAATGAAAAAATGGGACAAAAAATAAATTTCCTTTAAAGTGATTGGATTTGTTAGCTTAGGATGTTAGCTGCTCAAAACTGTCGGTCTTTTGGCTGTATGCCTTGATTTGGCTAAACTACGATCGAAAAACCGTTAAAAAATTGGCATTTTTGACAAAAATCTGAATCCCAAAAATCTGAATACAAAAAATGAAAAAATGGGTCAAAAAATAAATTTCCTTTAAAATGATTGGGATTGTTAGCTTAGGATGTCAGCTGCTCAAAACTGTCGGTCTTTTCACTGTACGTCTTGATTTGGCTAAACTACGATTGAAAAACTGTTAAAAAATTAGAATTTTTTACCCAAATCTGAATCCCAAAAAAAGACGATGCAACCCCTTACAAAAAATGAAAAAATGGGTCAAAAAATAAATTTCCTTTAATATGATTGGGATTGTTAGCTTAGGATGTTAGCTGCTCAAAACTGTCGGTCTTTTGGCTGTACGCCTTGATTTGGCTAAACTACGATCGAAAAACCGTTATAAAATTGGCATTTTTGACAAAAATCTGAATCCCAAAAATAGATGATGCAACCCCTTACAAAAAATGAAAAAAATGGGTCAAAAAATAAATTTCCTTTAAAATGATTGGGATTGTTAGCTTAGGATGTAAGCTGCTGCAACAGTCGGTCTTTTGGCTGTACGTCATGATTTTGCTGAACTACGGCTGAAAAACCCATAAGAAATGGGTATTTTAGACTAAAATCTGAATTTAAAAAAAACCTGAATAACCCCTGATAAAAAATGCAAAAATTGGCAAAAAAAATTATTTTATCTTAAAGTAATTGAGTCTATTAGCCTAGGATATTAGCTGCTCAAAACTGTCATTGTTTTAGCTGTACGTCTTGATTTGGCTAAATTACGACTGAAAACCCCGTTAAAAAATGGTATTTTTGACTAAAATCTGAGTTTTAAGAAAAACCTGATATAACTCCTTATAAAAAATGCAAAAATTGATCAAAAAATGTATTTCCCTTAAAATGAGTGGGATTGTTAGCTTAGGATATTAGCTGATAGACAAACAGAAAAGTCAGTAGGTCATTAGGTGAAATTTTCCAGCAAATGTCTGATAAATAAAACACCCTTGGAATTTGTTGTACATATTTAATACTAGTTTTTATTCAATTTAAAATTACTTGTATGTCATCTGTACTTCGTTTACCATCAAATGTTTACTCCATTTTTAATTTGTCAATTTGTATTTGTTATGCAATTAACTCAATGTTGAGCGAATGTCAGTGTGATGCTGAGCGTGTGTTTAAGTGTTTAACAAAATGATCTCGCGCTTAGAAATGTTTGAATTTTGTATTCGTTCTTGTTATCATATCTTAAATACGACAATGATTAAAAAATGGCTTACAATTTTGGGATTTAATTTTGTGTGTTATCTTGTTGTTGAGCATATACATTTGCGTTCGCTCGTTCATAATTTATAATATTCATTCTTCGAACACGTTTGTTGAATCCTTTATCCACGTTAGTTCGTTTGTAATTGTTGGTTTACTTGATTTGTTGTTTAGTTGATGCGGTTATGGAAAATGTATTTGAATTGCATGTAAATTTCGCTTTTTGGTTTTCACTTTGTATATATATTTATCAGTTATTGAAATTGTCTATATACTTACGAGTATATAAGTTGTTCATGTTTTTTTTCATGGGATTTAGCAGCTGCTTTGGTGTTGATCTCTTTGTTCTTGTGCGTTAAGTCTGAATATTTTAATATTATTCGAATTCCCAACTTGATTTTCATCGACGCTTCCCCAAAATGTTGTCAGTGTTTTTTTTTGCTTAGATACAGATACATAATTCCATTATGTAAACTCTCACTTATAATTATACAACTTAGTTGAAACATTTAATAAATATTTCTTTCTGCTCACTTTTTTGTTCGGTTGTACGGCATAAAATATGATTCAATCTTACGTTTAACTAAATGTTAAGGAAAAAACAATTCTTTTTATTTATATATATATATATAAATGTATAGTTAAATATATGTATGTGACTTATGTATGTAGCGTATGCATTCAAGTAAAATTTCTAAGAGCCTACGCAAGTACAAGTTTCAAACTGAATTTGATTCGCAAACTTTGGATATATGATTCCCCGGATACTGGATTTTCGATCCCGATCCAGATCCGTTCGTGAGTGACTGAGTGTGTGCTGAACTACTTATGGTTTGTTCGATTTTTGTCTTGGTTTACCTATGCTTGCTACCACATTACATTTGATTGGATTACGAGTATTGAATACGTATTCTTCTTGAACTCCCCGCGTCTACAGTTAACATGCATTATATAGACTTGTAGACTGGATTATTATTACAGATTATAATCGGATTCGCAATTTATCGTTTCGCTTTTGGTAACGTCTTTGGTCTTTAGCAAACTGATGCCTTCTGACTTGAGTTGCAGCTGTATTTGGGATGGGGTCATAGGGAGGGGGACTTGGGAGCCTGGGTTCGGGGTTGGGGGTTTGGGGTCCGAGGGGGACATGTCATTAACTGTCCCGACCTCTTGTCTTGCGCATCGTCTCCTTGTATAAAACGTTGAAATACTTTGAATTTGGTGGGTTAGTATACATATATTTATAGATATACGTGGCATATATATCTTTCAAAATGTTCGTTTCTTTAACATTGTTGTAAACAAATTGATGCTTGTCAATGGTTTCTCCTTTCTTTTCCTGTCGCCTCATCATCACTCACTTGACTTTCCATTTCGCTTTAGCTAAAATTTCATTCATAAATGCGGGGATTCACTTGGAAAGTTTTTCGTTTGCTTCGCAAGTTCTCTTTTTTCGAGTCTTGCTTAAGAATTTATTGGTTTATCCGATTCTTTGCTATAACATACATACATATTATTATTTTTACCGTTAATTATGTTCTTTTAACATCACTACTAATAATCAAAAAATGGACATTTATAAACTTTTATATAATGTATATTAAAAATGTTTTTTTGTGTTTTTGGCGTTTAAATGCCACAATTTTCTTTGTTTTCTCTTGTTTTTTTATATTTTTGGTTTTACTTATGGTGTTTCGGGGAATTTGTTTTTACAATTGGCCATGAAGTTGTCTTAGCGCCATTGTTTCTAAATTCTTACAAAAGTTTTGTCGACTCAGTGAATGAATTGTGGCTGAGAATAAAAAAAAAGAGGTTAAGTGATTAAATTAAGTGGAGAACAAATTTCATGACATTAAATTATACCAGTAAATCATATAAATTCATCACAGTTTGTTGTTGTTCGGCTGTTACTGTTGTTATTGGTTGGTGGAAAAGTCAGATCAAATTTATTGAGAAATTTCCTTCGTTTCCGGTTCTCGTTACCGTTACCGTTTCGTTTCGTTTCCGCTTCCGCTTCATATGGCCGCGTTCTTCATGGCATTGCATTTTGTGTCCCTGTTTTGTGTTTCAGTGTATTCGTGATGGTGTTTCCCGGAGACTGTGACTTTCACGGGCATTTCCCTCACTCGCAGTCGCGAAAAAATACGCGAAAGTAAACAACCTTTTTAGATTAATTTCCATCTTATTTGTAATGTGAATTTTTTAATCGATTTCGTTTTGGTTTCTGTTGCCGAAGCGGATAAAGGTTAAACTACTAAGAAATTAATATTAACTTGCATTTTTGATTCAGTAACAAGATATTGCAGCGTGTTAAAGACGAAACTAAACTAAACTAAATTAATACGTAACTCAAACAAAAACGTGTGCCTTGGTTTCGGGTAAGCTGTAACACTATGACTTAGTTCTTAAGTTCTTAAGTCCTTCTCGCGTTAACAAAGTAAAAAGGGAAAGCGGGGAAAATCAAACAAGCGACTTGCAAATCGTTATCGGTTGGCAATCGTTAACCGCACAGATTGGTCCGATCGGTTCGTTCGTTTCGTTTCTCATTTCGTTTCGCTTTGGTTCTCAAAAAAAAAAATCATACTCATATCTGCGTTAATGTATATGTATATTATATGTAGTACGCATATATGTTTAATAAGTAATTAGAAACTAACTCTTCACTTGATTTCTATTTGCGTTCTGGGCTCGCTATGTTTTGGTTTGGTGCATTTTCATACTCCCACATCCTATATAGCCTATATAGACATCGGGATTCGGACATCGGCTTACTCCAGGCGTGCCTTGTAGGTGGTCTTCCAGATCTCGGCGAGTGTCACGGCGCTGTGGAACCGATGGAAGATGCACAGGGGCAGTGTGATGCGTTGGATGATCGACCAGGGCACGAAGCCGTAAAACTCCAGCTGAACCTGTGGGTATAGGTATGGTATGGTTAAAGGGGTCAACAAGACGGGGGCTTCCAGGGCTAAACATCAACGACATGCAAGGGGACATCACAGCAAGACAAAAAGCTGTTTATAACCAGAAAAACATGGTCAGTGATAAATAAACTTCTCAAGTGATTCGGCATTATCAATGACTTACAGTATAATTTAAATTTGTATAAATACATTAGGGTGTCACAAAAATATAATCGTATTCATCGACATGGTCGATGTTAGTGTGCAACAAATGTACTCGAAAATTAAAAATCACTCATACGACATTTCTAACCGTGCCAACTTATGATTTCGTTTGAAACCTTGTAAGCAAGGGAAGTTGAAATTGAAATGATTGGTTTAAATCTACACCAAGTACATATATTAAAATACATTTATGATTAAAAGCAACAGTGCGTATGCGTGATATTATTTAAAGCCAATGCGCAGACCCAAAAACCCTTTTTTTAAATAAAGATCTTTAGGTATGCCCCAAATGCCTCAAAAAGCCCCTTATATGCGGGTGAGAGTAAGACCTTGGACCTTAAATACGTATTTAAAAATGTTTTCCGCTTTTAAAGCGACAAAAAGTATGCTATAATAATTTTAATTAAAATATTTTAAAATAGTTTAGGGACTAACATGTTTTAAAGAATTTTATTTGTTTAAGTATCTAAAAACAACAGCAAAAATATATCTCAACTTGGAGCCCCAACCCAAAAGCATGCAGAAAAACACAAAAACAAGAACAAGACCATTTGAGGAATAACGAGTAGAGAACGAGAACGTTAATCGTCTTACTTAACTCAGTCTCGCGTACGTACATATCTACTTACAGGATTGGCGAATACTTTTTGAGCTTCGAATGTGTAGATGGCGAACATGGCCACGTTGCAGATGAGGAGGAAGGTGACGATCTGGCGGCCCGGCTTGCTGCGATCGTGCTCCGGCAGGTGGACGCGGCGGCGGGACACGTCCGCGATGAAGAGCAGCTGCAGGATCACCTGGAAGACGGCCACGCCCCCGGTGGTCGTCACCAGCAGGCTGGGCTCGCTCTCCAGGACCTTCAGGCTGCCGGCGATGATGCTGAACACGGAGTAGGTGAACAGGCCGAAGGCCGAGATGCGCAGCAGTATGTCGTTCAGGTTCGACTGCTCCTCGCAGCGGAACTTCAGGTTCTTGACCCTTTTGAGAAAACGGGAAAACATGAGTATGGGTTAGATCGGATTATTGAGTATTATGGGGACTGCTCAGGGAAATGGCACAGCAAAGATATTAAGGAATTAAAATATAATAGGCTCTATTTTCCCTGTGCAGTCGGCTCCCAGGGCCATCATGCTCCGTCCAAACCTGATGAATCCAATTATTATTGCCAGAATGGCGAAGGCCATCAGAATGCAGTGGCTGGCGTCAGCGAGGTAAATGGCCAACAGCGAGAACTGCTGATGGCGCACCAAGACGAAGAAGAGTATCAGGCAGATGAGGGCCCCGACCAGCAGCAGGAGCCCGAAGAACAGGCCCTTCGACGAGCCTACGCAGTCAACGCGTCCGGATCGCGCCTGCTGCGCCATGGCCACCGCCCTCCGCGAGAGCATCACCTCCAGCCGGTGCTCCAGGTCCTCGTCGTTCATGCGCCCTGGGTAGCGGCCGATGTGCTTCCACATGACATACAACACCACCGCCCCGATCAGCGAGTACTCGATGATGAACGGATACAGGTAGGGCGCCGAGTCGTAGACAATGGTGCCCATGATGTCGATGCGTCCGCAGGCGGTGGAGTTGAGTGTGCCGATATTGGAGGACAGCGCCGCCGGGTATATGTTGTCCAGGCTCTCCAGGTTCTCGAAGCTGACCAGCCCGGTGGCCTCCTCGTGGCCTAGGTCGGTGTACGTCTGGAAGCTGTTCTCCATGGGGCCCTGGCCGAACAGGTTGTTCATTATGCTGGCCGAGCCCTCGGTGCTGCTGGCTGGGCTCAGGGTGCTGGCCAGGAAGGAATCCACAAAGGAGCCGGGACCGGAAACGGGAGTGGGCGTGGCAGCGGAACCGAACCCATCGACTGGCGCCAGGCTCGGCGGAGCGACGCTGGAGAGAACGCGCTGCAAGCCGCCAAAGGGCGAGTCGCTGCCGCTGGTCTCGAGATTCAGGGCGGCAGTGGTGCTAAATGGATTGAAGGTGGTACTCGGTGAGATGGTGGTGCTACTGGTGGTCGGCGGAATGGTGGTGCTACTGGTGGTCGGTGAGATGGTGGTGCTGCTGGTGGAGCTACTGCTGCCCGCCGCCGTGGTGGCCGCGGTGGTGGCGCTGGTGATAAACTTCTTCAACTTGCGGGCCATAGTAGTGCTGTGCCATTGGTAATTCGGAGTAGTGAACGGGGCCCTCGTGGTCGTGGTGGTGCTGCTGGTGACCACCTGGTCACCACCCATGCCCAGGCTCTTCGAAATACCGTTGACGGTATTGCGAACCAGCTTGGACAGCACGTTGTCGCCCTTGTATCCGTCCTTGGGCAGGAGGTCCTCGCCGTCGAGGACCTCGAACTCGCTGTTGGGTCCCGCGTGGGTCCTCAGCACGGTTCCGGCGTGGCGAAGGGCGTGCTGCCTTATTGAGTGGGCTATGGAGGAGGCTCCCGCCTCTGGCTCGTGCTTCTGGTGATAGATCGTGATCTCAAGCAGGGACTCCTTCACCAGGGTGCGTATCCACACGCAGATGTTGGTGGCCACTACGTGCATCAAGCCAAAGCGGGCGATCACCTTGAAGCGGTGGATGTTCAGCTAGAGATGCGGAATCCCAAATCCGGGGGAGAGTTACGGAAACACAGAGAGAGAGAGAGAGAGAATGGGGTGCGCCGGGCGCTTGAGTACGGCGGAGAGTTTCACGGCAGTCAAGTCGATTACATTGATTACTTATAGAGATTAGATTGCGGGCAAAACTCAGTTCCTGTTCGGGAACTGCAAGCCACTGGCCCTGCAGAGGGATTTTTCAAAAGATCCAATATTATGACTCTGCCTTAGCTTTGTATTTCCAATTATTTGCGTTACTGCACTTTAAACCCAAGATCAACGTTCCTAGTGAATACTTCAAAAATCGGACTTGTTATAATTTAAAAAAATAAAATCTTGAAAGACCCCTCTACAGTGGCAGTGGGGCGAAACAAAAACCAAACGCACGCGGATGAGAACCCTTAAATGTATAGTAACTTGTTTAGACTTGTGGTTATCATATCGTAACATATATACACATAATAGACATAGGTGGTATAGGTATGCAGTTGGGTGATCAAAATGAGCATTTGGTTGGAGGCAGATGTACAGGTACAGGTAGAGTTAGAGGTAGTGAGTACAGTAGAATAGAGTAGAAAATGAGTTGCATATCGTACCTGAAATGGCGGCCTAGTCTGCGATCGCGCGAATGGGGCGGAGTTGTGGGATTATGTACACAAAAATGGTTCATTAAATAACTACGTAGCAAAATTTCGGAATTTGTTTTAAAGAATGAATATGCATTGGTTGATTGATGGATAGTTTGGATGAATGGATGTTTGAATGAGCTGTAGCTGGCTTATGGTGGGTGGTTTCGGTGGTCAAAATGCGTGTGGTGCTGAGGATTTGAACTCTGTGTCAGTGGGTCTGTGATTCACAGAAAAAGAACAAAATAAAGGATCAACACTAAACGCAAGGGGTCAATTTGACTTCATTATCGATCATATCATGTTTCAAAATAAGATCAGATTGACACCCCTAGCACATAATTTTAAGTAGTCTGTTGTCTGTGGCTTTTCCAATGATCGTTTGAGAGATTGAGAGAAGCAAGCGAGTGATATGGCAGATGATGTGATTAGCGATGGATGCAATAGCGAATGCAGATAAAGATGCCGGTGGATGAAAACTGAACTCAAAACTGCCAATTAGCACGCCAATTTAACACTCGTGGTGAGATTTGGATTGAGATCGATGAAGGTGAAAATAAACCGAAACCGAAACCGAAACCAAAAACGAAACCGGAACCGCGACCTGACTTTAAATGCCGCGACCTAACTTTGAGATCTACGGAAACTTGGGAAACTAACCTCGCTGGGGTTCTTGAGGAGGAGCTGGGTTGGTTTCGTGTACTTATGATGGTTTTACATTTAACATACGAGTATAGAATAGCCGTAGATAATAGCAGTAGGTAGTAGTAGTAGTAGGTAGTAGTCATACGCTTACAGTGTTCTTTAGTTTTAGTTTTAGTTCATAGTTAGACACTGATTGTTGACCTTTCGACTTACCCGGGCATTCATGAATATAAAATACATCTGCATGAAGGTGAAAATCATCTGGAGCAGTGGATTTACGCCGATCAGGATATGATGGCACGGCGAATCGAAGGGAATTTCGAAGAACGATCCAAACTCTAGGCCAATATAAATCATGGCGCCAAGTCCAAAAGCTGTGCATAAGAGGGGTCGAATGGCGTCAGTTCTGGTAGGTATATACTCTGAAGTTGGGGCTCTTTACTTACCAATGGCTCCCACGCGCAGGAAAAAGCTGCCGTGCGTCAGATCACTGTGGGTAGTCTTGCGCTTACGCACATTCTTCGGGGTGACGGCCACCTCGGCGTCCACGGGTGCTTCCTATATTTGAATGGACGGAGAGATCGGGCGGTCAAGAGATAATACATGTAGGGAAAATCTCACAGCCCTCGGAAAAAACTAATTGATGCGACCTTAGGTCTTGGCCCCTAATTAGCAAGGCTTGACAGGGTGAATTGCTTAATTGGCAAGTAGGTCATGGAAAATGCCAGGTGAGGGATAGATGCCAATATAGATATTGACATTAAGACCTGGTTTATGATAAGGGAGTGGGTATATTAAAAATACAATGTTGTACATAGTTGTACATAGCGAACAGGGATCTTAGAAATAGTTTAAGTAACGTTCATAGCAAACCAGAAACTTGGCCATCGTATGCTTATAGTATAGGGGAAACAGAACATATTCCCAATTAGTTCAATATATCTTCACGAGATCGTTTTCGAGGGAAACTTTTTAGGGAATTTTGATAAAAGGAATACTGTTTTTTGTAAATAAGTGTCAGTCAATTATATTGAACCCACCTGATATGCGGCGCCCTTGGCTGCCTTGCCAGAGTCCTTTGAGCCCTTCGCTTCCTTCGAATCGGCCGGATCGGCATTTTTGGCTTTCTTCGACTTCTTCTCCTTAGGTTGGGGTTTCGGTTTGCTGCCACCATTGCCGCCATTGCAGCAAGAGCTCTCTGTAGAAATCGGAAGGAATGATGTCGGATAATGTCTTTGGAAAGTGGAATGTCTTTTGACTTTCAGCCTCCATGCATAAAAAAATATGGCAATCGAAGCAAACATTTTAAAAGCTGAAATACCACTCACCCTGCAGCAGGAAACAGAAGACGTAGAGGAGGAAGAGTATGCTGACGCCGTAGAGATATGTGAAGAACGTCTCGTAGTACAGAACCGGTAGTCGGTGGGTGGTTACATCGCTGATTACGTAGGCGATGCAGACGACGATCAGGAGGATCGCGTACACCAGACTGGTCACGATGAACAGGGATGTCCTGAGGAAAGGGAGGGCCCAAAGGTCAGCTCTCTGAGTGCTCAGGTTTCTTTTAACTCAATTATGTACAGAAGAGTAAACTCTTGGTGCGCGTATTTACGGGTGGCGTGGGTGTTTGTGTTATTTCGTGCGGGAACTGTGTCAAGAACTGGCCAAAAATCTGGCCCTAACTCCCGCGCGTTGACCCACTGTCCCCCTTCCAGAGTGGGCTAATTTTCCGCTTTTCCACTGTTAGTTTTAATTCTGTCTTTCTAGTTTCTAGTGTGTGTGCTTGTGTTCTTGCCCAGAGACAAGAGCTTATTGTGTGTTTGGGTGGGTGTGCGAACCACATCACAATCAACTAAAACCCAAGTGCATTTACACTTGACAACTCAAGAACATAACCGCCCTGCATTAACCCCTATTTGATGTTTGATTAGCCACGAACGTGCACAGGGACTCTGATATTAATATAGTGTTCAAAAAGTGAGCAACGTCTAGCTCACTGAAATAGTTTTAGCATCAGTAGTTTTATGCATAAATATATATTTAAGTTTTCAATACTTTGCGGACCCTATTTCATAAACTATTTATTTATTATTACTAATATTAAAATGTTTGACATCTCTTTATAAAAGTCTTGAAAAAAGTAGCTTTGGTAGGTCGAACTTTTATTGCATACTTTTATGGGCTCCAATTAGGTATTTAAACTTACAACAAATGTTAAGTATTTATAAATTCTAGTAAACTTTCCTACTAACCACACATTTTCTAAGCATGCATCCCACTGTGGCTCGTACAGTATTTTCAGTATTTCGTGACCTAGTTAGTTGCTGCTTTTAATGCACACCTCTTTTTCCACCCTATTTAAGCATCCATTTGCATGTGTATGAGCCCTGAGCTGGATCAAATCCTACGTTTGCATTGTATAATGCGAGTATTTAAAAAGAATTCCCTTAATTATGCATGATATCAAAGCTGATTTTGCCTGCATTTACAATAAACCTTTAGAGTAATATTAGTGTTTTTCAATGAATTCATGTTTCAAATTCAAATATCGTTTGGAAACCCAAATAAGTAATCCTTACAGTGTGTTCACATTGAAGATGTGAGGAGTATGAAACAGGGGAATTTAGCGGACGGAGTATTTTGGACTTTGGGTAGGGGTAGGTCATGGTTTTCACATGTCACATTACCATAGTTCGATGGGTCCCGTTATCGGATTGGTTTCATATGTGCCCTGTACCGTTATTTTCGCTGGCATAAAACTGAACTTATTTGGATTTGGCTTGAACGTGTAGCAAACCCTATAAGATTGGGTGTAAATTAAGTGTTGATATCCAATTCGTTAGACTATAAGTTATCTTTAATGGATGGTTTTACAAAGCCTGGGGCGGTTGGGGGCGGGGCTGGTGGAAAAATGCAAGCGCGCAGAACCAAAACGTAAATCTTTTGGGGGTCCTTAATAAAAGAGGGAGACGGCGCTTTACAGATGAGATTGCACTTTTGCTTATATATCCAATATACTTCTAGCTTATGTACAAAGTGTGCGGGTGCGAGCGTTTCTATCTATGTACTGTGTGTGTGCTCATGTGCTTTGGGTGAATCTGTTATACACAGGGATTCGCTAATTACTAATTGGAGAACGGCCTTGATATTAACGCTCAATGCCTAGCAAGTCATTTAAAGTTGGGGTGTTTATACGTTAAGGAAGGGTGAAGATTTGTGATAATGTTTCAACAGATGCAATGTATCTTGCAGACAGCACTATTTACGCTACCCATTTAATCATTAACTTGTTTTGGATTCAAGTTGATATTAAAGTAAATACTTTAAAAATTACTCCCTTTACAGTATTTCGAGAAACTTTGAAAATGTTTTAAAGGCAAAAAGTACTTTAGGATATAAAATATTTCTTATGTTTAAATACACTGGAGATGTGTACCCAGGACTAGAGTTATTAGATTCCAAAAAGTCATTTTTTTTCAGGATTTACATCCAGGTTATCAGTTCATCCCTTATCAATACATGTTCTCAGGTTGAAGATTATCTGTTGGGACTCGTAGTTCCCCCAAAATGCGATAGAAGTATCCCCGGGCCTTCCCCCAAATTTGCGAACCTCTGCAGCGGCTGCGGCATGACATTCTTGAGCTCCATCTCCTTGTTGGCGGCGTTGTTCTTTTCGGCGCTGTCGGTGCTGCCGGCGGTATGCGAGCGGGACACCGGCAGCGTGGCCATGTTGTCCCCGCCTTCGACGTCGACGGTAGCGACCTTCACTTCACCGCCGCCCATTGTATCTGCTTCCGTTTCGGTCTCCGTTGTAATGGCTTTTTCGACGACCTCCTTTCCGATTACTCTATTGATAGGCGATAGGATCTTTTGGTCCTTCGCGGCGGATCTCTCTTTCCTCTTTCCTTAATTTCACTTCACAGTTCTGAATTATGTATCTTGACAACTCTAATGAAGCAATTTGCAGGGTTTATTTTCTATTTTGGAATGCAACAGAACAACTATTGTTTGACTTGGAGAGCATCCCTATATACAGTATCTGACTCTCTCTCTCTCTCTCTCTCTCTCTTTCTGTTGGGAGCCTTGTGGAACGCATTTGAAATGCATTTGACAAATGGGCAAATGAGGCGTGGTTATAATTTTTGAAACGGACTGCATCCCGGATGGGAGCGACCCAGTGACCTCTCTCTCCGGCGGATTTGGAGGGTTGAAAGCCCTATTTGGCATTCCGTATTTCGGAGGGGAAAGTGTATCCCGTGGAGCCCACAGACTCTGGGTGTGCTGGTGTGTATGCATTGGAAGCGGGCCTATGTGGAATATACTATCCCTCTACATTGGGAGTCCTCAGGTTCTTAAGAGGCTATCGAGCTGTTTCTTTTCCCAATATCTCCCCATCTCTCTCAGTCTCCCATTGCTGTGTGTATAATAAGCTGCTTAACTTGTGTGTATTGCCCGGTGCCATTAAAGTTATTTTTTTCAGGCCTGGTCAAATCTATTAACTGTAGTTAGCGGAAAATCACTAGCATTATGAAATAAACGCCACTGCAAATTGCTTCATTGAACCCAAAAAATTTCTTGGTTAAAAACTAGAGTGCCTTCGTTGATTTCACAGATAGTTTCACAGTTTCGAATTTATCTTTTCAGAACACTAAGAGAATCACTTTTCGAGTTGAAACTTAAAAAAAATGCTATGGTAGTCACAGTTTCAGTATGGAGTTTAGAAATTTTGTTGAAAACTTCCAACTGAGTGGAGGACTTTTGCTTTTGGAGGACTTTGGAGGCTACCTGGCGAACGATTCGCTCGACACGTCCAAGACCCTTTACTATCCAACTACAACTGAATCGGGCCCTGGCAGGATAAATCCAGCATCCTTTTCAGCCAGCAGCCGCCCTCAATCTGCGCCGAATCTCTCACGCTCTCTCCTCCTTCTCGCCTATTCCCGTCTCTTTCGCCTGTAGTCCCTCATCTCTCTCACACTAACTCGCAGGATGCTCTCGGCATGCAGGGGGAAAATTTGCTTGGGTATGCCAGAAAGTAGGACACATTTTGGTGCGCGATTTGATGTGCGATTTTTTCTCTTGTTGCTCTTAGCTCTGCTGGGTTATATTCAAATTGTGAGTCTTGTCGGGGTACTGGCTCTGAAAAGGCCTGTCATTCATGTAGCATCAACTGGCTCTGCTAACGTTGTAGTTATTCTTAATTGCGCTCCAAAATAGCTAAACAGTTCTTTGTTCCAATTAAATTTTAATGTTGATCCCCTGATTCAATAATATTGTTGTGGTTTCTTATACATAGCAATCTATACATTCTTCTTTTAATTTTGATATGTTTTCCCCGTCAAATTCCGGACTACAGAGCTGTCCAAAAACGTATCTTTTAATTGAGTTTTCCATCAGGCCACGGAGATTCTTTGTGTTAGCCGCACATTCGATGTAAATGGGTCACTTACGGAGAACCCAGGAGTTAAAAGGGGGGATGCCAAATGCCAATCAGCGGGTATGCCAATATGCAGAGTCCATCAGCAAAAGGTGGGTGGTTTCGAGCCAAAGGAGGCGGTCAGATGGAATCAAAAATGGGGAATTGAAGAACAGAATCCAACAGAACCGTCAGTCATCAAGAAGCAACAGCACCAAACTCAATTACCCACGATGCTCGGCCAGCCTCTACTAATTTTACTACTATCGTGTGATGTCTTTGTTGTTCGATTGTGTGGCTGCGACGTGTTACAGCCACCTAACGTCACAACCACCCCGCGAACCGGCACAGTGGGCTGTATCTTTTGGACACTGAATAAAATGCATACTTCACTATTGTGTGTCTTGTAGTACACCTACTTTTCGACAGATACCCCATTCCTTAAAAGTCATTAAAATCATTCTCTAATCCATGTCGTACGTTCATCAGCTCTTCTATTCAGTTCATCAGAGCCTTTTTGAGACGCAATTTCCATTAATCCCACTCGAGGGCCCATTGTGCGCTGTAGCAGAGCTTTACGGTAAAAGCCGACGCCGTCGTCATGCTGTCTGGTTCGTTCTGTTTCGGCGTTCGAAGTTCGGCTTCGCTCTCGTCCTTGTTCGTCCTGTTTTACCGTTTATCGTAACTCCAGCGCTTGCTGCCTTTTGTGCTGCCGTTCGCAAAAACATTGCGGCATTCTGTTTTGGTTGCCCATTCGCCGACAGAGTCGCCCCATCCCTTCGAATTCCCAACTGCCGAATCCCGAGCCATTGAACGTCGAGCGCAGAGTGCGACAAGGGGTTGCAGTCAACCAGAAGAGTGGCGGTATTAAAAAATGTGAGCACACAGTCAGAGAAAAGAATTGTTCCATAACAATCTTATCTTCAATGTTTGCAACTCTGCGAAGATCAGTGGACAGTATTTTTAACTAAACTAACTTCTTATTTGATTGGAAGAATGATAGAATATCGTTTCAGAGTCTTTTCACTTGAATAAGATAACAATTTTTGAAATTTTTGCTAAACGTATCTATTGCATCTATTTTCCTTTCAGTGTAAACGGAATTAAAGGATTTGCGACGCAGCTCGCCAACTGCGTCGTAGTTGCATAGAAAGGCATAAAAGCTGGAAAGTTGCGGACAGACGGGCAGCAGAGGGTTAAAGGAGGAAGGTGAAAGGGCGCAAGAAAACCGGGGGTTATTGAATCGCTGGCAGCCGCACCCTGGTCACAGCCAGATGAAGACGTGTGACCCAAATGCCACTCACTAACTCCGGGAGTAGAAAAATGCGATAATAAGGCCTTGGAATTCAGGCTGCCTAATGTTGAATCAAGTTTAAATTGATGAGACTCCCTAAACAGTGGTCTGACTATAAGTCCCATAGTAAAATTTACATAATGTTGATGAAGAAAAAGTGGAAATAATATGGTTTTGATTTTTACCAATAATATGTAATAATATATAATTATGCCAACTTAAATAAATCCCTGACTTGTTGTTCCTTTTAATTGAAATCAATCCCCGAGCGAGTCCATAATTATTGTGGCCTGTACCACACAGCCCTCGGAAATCAAAGAAGGGTTGCACTGGCCTTGTTTCCGCTCGCCTAATTATACATTTAGCCACCCCTCACAACAGATGAGGTCTTTGTGCGGAGTTTAAATTATTATTTTTAAAACAAAGTATCGGGGGTGAACGGAGATCCTTCAGCCTACCACAAAAAACCTCGTGCCTAATCGGGTGTCAATGTTTTTGCCAGGGACAGCGCCACAAATAGATGATGGGCATTTTTTACAAATGGATTGAGAGCCAAGTATAAAAAACTTTAGAAGTAGGAAAACTTTGGCATGATGCACCGCGGAAAATCACCCCCACCAAATTTTGGCTGGAACTGAAGCGTACATAAATAGGATTCTGTGATATAGGTATAGAAGCTCGCCTTCAACAACAAGTGTCGCCAGTTTTGTTCTCTGTGAAGTTCGAGGAAGTCGAGAACCATGTCCTCAAGTGAGGTTGACAACTCTGGCCAAATGCCAAGCATCGATAGTTTTGCCGTCTGCTCAACTCAACGCCGCTCTCCTTTGCGCCCATTGGGCCACCGCCATCCCATTGTTAACAAATTGCACAAACTCACGAATGTAAGTCATTCGTACAATGACACTTTGGGTCCCGAGACAAAGACATACATAGCTCTATGGGTTTTCCCGGTAAAGGGTCTTCCAGGTGATGGGACCGGAGATGCGAATGAGATGTTGATTTGTTGAACTATTTTTAGAGTGATTAAATAAACATCGAAATACCACTATACTATAATATCCTTTTGATCGCACTCACTTTTGTTTTGAATGTACGATCATATATTCTGCGAATATTTTCTATATGTGTAAGTGATACAAGACGCTAACAGATCTCGTTGGCATGCATCGCTGACAGTTCATGCCGCAGCCAGCCGAGTGGAATGCTTTGTCGGTTTGTCAAGTTGCATAATTTGTTTGCAACTTCAAACCCCCCAGCACCACCCACTGGCAGCATTGTGTAAGCGATTTTGGATGACTCGCTGCCTACTTATTTGTTTTACGTCCCGACCGGAGAGGAGCAAAAGAAAAATACTCCTATAAAAAACCCTGCCACACCATCGGAAATGTAAGGCAATGTGCCTGGCGTCCAGTTCATTGACATTATAATCCACTGGATGCCAACAAATAGTGCAAATAGTACAACAAGTACAAAAGCCATACAGATACAAAGAAAAGGCTGAATGAAATTCGGGCTAAGATGGCTCTTTGGCTCTTGTGTGTATGCGACTCCCAAAGCGGATATGTGTACTACTTAATTTGGGATTTTTCACTCAGCGAAAAAGTCTTGGAATTCCTAGAAACCTGAAACCATATATCATGTTTTCTACATTTATTCTAATTTATAAAATGACACTTCCTTGCTATACTCCAAAAAATATTAATGATTTCAAATGAATGACGAAAATCGTATTTATCAGAAAGCCAAAGAGATCTAAAGCTTAGGATACAAAATAATATACCATAATATATAGTTAGAGTAATTCTGGTTACTACAGCTGTAGGAAGCCATGTCAAAATGCAGGAGATAGAAAAGATCAACTACGTTCCAGAGAGAACTAACTAACATTCCTAGGTTAGTAGGAAAAGGACTTAGGTTCTACTTTAATATATATGTGTACGAATTTTAAGACTAATTATAGTATCGGTTTTTGAAAAATGAGATATAGCAAATCTGACCTTTGCTGTGGGCGCGTCAGAACCGCTGGATGTTTGCCGCTGTAACGGGTTCTAACTGATTAAATTGTACACGAATCACGGATTTCGGGGCTTTACGGTTCTACTGCAGATCTAATAAAAATGTCTCACAGGTTAAAAAGAAGGAAAAGAATGAGGAAATCGAGATCTCGCTGGCACTTTGTTAGCCGTTTGAAATGTGAAACGGAAGCATAGTAACGCAGGAAAAGAATGGTAAGACACGAAACACAAAAACAAATTCAGTGGAGACACAAAGAGTGGTGCTGGCTTAAAAATGGCATTTGGTACTTTTGCGGTTCGGGACAGTGTAGTGTTTCCATGGAACACACTTACTTGGCATTTTTCGGTCGTCGGGCGTCGATCGGAAAGTCGTCGTCAAAATCCAAGTTAAAGTCTTCGCCGAGATCGTGAGGCACTAGTGGGGTGCGTTGGTGTGCAGGGCTTGTGTGATATCCATCGCCCTGCAGCTGTTGGTGGATCGATAACACATTGGGGTTAGTTCTCGGTGCCAAGTGGGTCTCGAGCTTACGACAATAAATTGGAATTTCATATTTATAATACAAAATGTACAAGGAATATACCATGCGCGGATCCACGGGGGGGATATAGGGGATAGATCCCCGCCACTCGGGTTAAAAGTATATGTACTATGTATTTTATTCCAAACTTTTGATTTCTACTCAACATATTTTTTGCATATCCCCCCACAACCAAATTCTGGATCCGCCACTGGTATATACAGAAAGTTATTTAAAGAGATTGCCACAGAAATTTCAAAGTGTTAGCGTTCTGAAAATTATGTTATTTAATTAGCTCGGAAGTCAAGAGTTGGTAGACAAGTTGGTCTACCAATCCTAAGTCCATTTAATTCAGTAATGGTTAGTAACAATGTGGATTATTTATATTTCTTTTAGTTAAAATAATTTCTGTGGCGTAATCTTAGAGAAAAATAATATATTTCTTGCTCCATTCACATGCGTTTCGAAAATAAGACGGTAATAAATATTTGTATCCGTTTAGATAAAATCAATTCCAATTTATTGCAAATTAAATGAATCATAATTGCTTTTGCTCTTTTCGTTATCATTTTCGATTCGAGGAACATAAAGAAGGGCGAATCGGTTACTCGTGCAAGGATTTGGTTGGTTTAAACATTTGGATCCGTTTCGAATTCATGGCTAAGGAGAAAAATCTTTAAAAATAAATTATTTATTTGTCACACACACCAACACACACACTGCTTATTGAAGTTAAGGTGGTTATATTCATATGCAATATACAAGCTATGTACATTAACTTCTTTAATAAAAGTTCATGTGATTTTATGGATAAAATTGTAATAATGATATAATGTTCAATGTTCGTCGTCGATGAGAAAAATATCGGTGTTGAAAATAGAAAATGTATTTCCTGGTTACCTAAAAAAATATCCAAAATGGATAACTGAATACGAATAAAAAAGCAAATTTTGTATTCAATCTATTAAAAAACCAATAAACTAGTAAAGACAATGAAATATTTTTGGGATCTTTTGTTATCAGTTCTATACAGTATGGAATTGGAATATGGAATATGGAACTTGGTTGATTTAATATCACTGATAGTATTATGTTGTAAAATAGTGAGTTTATTGAGAGTGGCTTGTGTGTACTGCGTGTTTCGACTGGACATGGTTAGATGGTGTTAGATATTGCATATGAGTTGGAAAGGGGAAATCCTTGTAGCGAGTACATCGAAGGCCCCTACCTTGACCACAGTGCCGACCTGGTTGGATTCGGATGCCGATTGGCGGTTGTCGAGCAGAGTGGCCCGCTCCATGTTCTCCAGTTGAGGTGTCTCCCGTGGCTGGTCCAGTAATCTTTCGCGCATCTCATGAATGTAGGGACACCGCTGCATTCCTCTCTGCTCTCTCGCTCCCGACCCTCCTCTGCTCTCCCCTATCTATCAGATAAATATGTATTTGCTTAGATCGACTAACTGAGTGCAGATACTATCTACGAGAGTTCGAAATGCAACACTTCAAGCGCTTTACGATATAGTCCTATATAATCGAATTTATTGCTTTGCCATTCATATATATCCGGCCGTAAAAGCAGGGGTGCATGTATTTTTTGTAAGCTAGTGTAAAGTTCTTAGGGAGGTAATCGCTATGGCTTGCTCAACGAGATAAATCAGTCATACGGTTTGCAGCAGCAGTTGAATGTTTAAGACTTTTGGTTGCGCAATTTGGTCGGTCTGGAATGAGAAAAGTTATTCATCTTAGTATTTTTGATAATTTTTTTAATGCGAGAGGGGACAGTTTAATCATCATCATAACCAAATAAAAGCATTTCGCTTCCGCTGTTTTTTGCCCTATTTATATTTAAGAAAATCTATGAGTTTATATCGAAAGTTTATAAGGCCATACGACCCCAGATTTGGATTTTCAACACGCACGAAAAGCGAGACTGGCGAAAAGAAAATAAACAATTTGAAATAATATTCTACAGCATGCGATTGCCACCCACTCATTCCCCTTTTTTGGCTATATGGGTATGTAGTGATGTGAAATTTTGGCTGGTGTAACTACAAAAGTAGGAACAAGATTCCTTAACGCAAAGTAAAGTACATAT